ACGTAATGAGTTTCAAGCCATGCATGATTACATAGTGAGAACTTTCTCTCTCTCTCTCTCTCTCTCTCTCTCTCTCTCTCTCTCTCTCTCTCTCTATATATATATATATATATATACCTTTATAAAACAGCTATGTAAAGCAATGAAAATTGTTATAGTTTCATTTCTATTAGTCCTCTTTATGGTGGAGAAGCATTTCCAGCTCATTATATTATATATAAGAGGACTTGGGTTTCAGCTCTTCCCTTAATTGAATACTATTAAGAGTTTGTCCTTTATGACTAAATTAGGAGTCTGTTATCCACATACTTTAATGGTGTCTAATACAGACTTGCAAGCATATATCCATATTAGACTGTCCATTCTACTGGTGACCCCAAGAAAAATGAGGAGCTCTATCAAGAGTCCCAAGTAGCCAGGCAGTGATGATTCACACCTTTAATCTTAACACTTGGGAGGCAGAAGCAAGCAGATCTCTGTATGTTCGAGGCCAATCGGGTCTACAAAATTAGTTCCAGGACTGTTAACACAGACAAACCCTGTCTTGAAAACAAAACAAAAAAGTCCCAAGTAGAGAGAATGGAATCCTTCCTGAGGTTGCTAATGTTTCTTGTCCATCACTAACTATTGACTTACAGAACATAGGGACTCCATCAGCCTCACATAAACACTGAAAATGTTACCAGTATTTACGTTTTTGATGGGCTTCATCTCTGTGATATGAATTTACCTGTCCTATGAATCTTATCACTCCCTTACTCTAAAACTTCTCCTCAAAATAGTATGAAATGCATGATGTATTTTATATACTTCTCTCTGGTCTCAGGCCACACTGCAGCCTCACCAAACTTCCTCTTACACGTTTGCATCTCATACACTTATTTCTCTACTTGTAGTGCCTTTTTTTCTTTCCTCCTATCAGTCTCCAAAGCCCACTGTAAATGGTACAGCTTTTCAAATCTTCCCAGTGTTCCTTAGCTGTTCATTCATTTCCTTCTTTATATTATAGTGACAATTTGTATATACCTGTGGTATGGAAGCACTTCACTGTACCTTTCCCTTTGCTACCATTTTCTGTATTCTCTTCACTTGCCTTCCAGAGTGCTTGCTCTGTTATAAGTACTCAGTAAATATTTATTCGGTGGCTAAACTGAATACCTGTGGCATTTTGGGTAAAGAAGCAGTACTGATAGGAAAAAGAAATGGGAAAACTGTATAGATCTGACTTTCTTCATGATTGTGCAAACCTTCATTTGCAGCATATAACCGGGCATTACATTCAGTCATCAATTCTTCTGATATCTCCGAGGGGAATGCAACTCTTCGAAACGCCATTCGTAATTTTGCTTCTGTACATAGACGGACTTCCAAAAAAAGTCTCCAATGAGAGTCTGAAATCAGTGCCAATGACTGGTAGTATTTCCATCTTCATTTAAAATCAACCACAAAATAATGATTAAGGAAAGCTGTTAAAGTATGTAAGATGAATTATCTTAAAGGAAAACAGTCCCACATAATAACTGTTTCTAACTAGATAGCTGCCTTGGGACCAACACAGAAAGTTAAATACCAAACTCGTCTCTTGTTTAGTATGTACCACATGGAACCTGTTATTTTAAAAGTGATGAGAAAAGTAAGGTTTCTTCAATTCCTTCTGGCTTTTAAAAAAGTGTCCTTTTAACTTTCTCTTTCTTTGTCTAATTAGAGAAACTCTTTGAGGTTATCTTACTATCATCCTAAAATCATGCTTTTGAATCTTGACAGTATTCAGTGTCTGGATGAAGCAGAAAAGGAATCGGCTGCTGAGCACTAATGGCCATCTGTATTGCCATCGGCTCTTCTAGTTTTGTGTAATAATTAGAGATGAGAAGAATTTTCATTTGGTGTGCTTAGCATTTCTTTTTCCTCCTGTTTCTCTTACTTTTTAAATTATTGCCTCTTTTCTTGGTCAGTGACATTGGAGACAGGATTTTTTAATTTTATTTTTACTCTAAATTTTTTTGAGATTTTTTTATTTTATGTATATGAGCGTTTGCCTGAATGTATGTCTGTGCACCGTGTGTGTACATTGCCCTTGGAGACCAGAAAAAGCATCAGATCCCCAGAGACTGGAGTTAGAGATGGCTGTGAGTACCATGTGGGTGCAGGGAATATTGGACCTGGGTCCTGTGGAAGAACAACTCATGTTTGTTCCTGCTGAGCCGTCTCTCCAGCCTTGACTACTATTGTTCTGTAATATTTACAAATGCCAAAAAGTCAAACTGTAACTTTTCAATATCTTTTATGTGAAATATTTATGATTAAATTCTGTTTTCTTTTTCTTTCTTTTCTTTTTTGAGACAAGGTTTCTCTGTATAGAGCCCTTGCTATCCTGGAACCACCTCTGTAGACCAGGCTGTCCTTGAACTCAGAGATCCTCGTGCCTCTGCCCCCTGAGTGCTGATGAATAAATTTCAAAAGGTATATATGAGGTCAAAGGAATAAAGTTCTGCTTCATTTTTCTATCCTTAAAAAAAAAAAAATCTGCTGACTAACATACCTGGAACAAATGAAATAAATATTGCCATAGTTATTATGAATTTGTTATTTTCTTCACATTGTTTCTTGATGAAAAATTTTAAATGATTAAAAACAGCCCTTAGGCCGGGCGGTGGTGGTGCACGCCTTTAATCCCAGCACTTGGGAGGCAGAGCCAGGCAGATCTCTGTGAGTTCGAGGCCAGCCTGGGCTACCAAGTGAGTCCCAGGAAAGGCTCAAAGCTACACAGAGAAACCCTGTCTCAAAAAACCAAAAAAAAAAACAAAACAGCCCTTAGGCTGGAGAGGTGGCTCAGTGGTTAAGAACATTGGCTGCCCTTCCAGAGGACCCAGGTTCAATTCCCAGCATCCACATGGCAGCTCACAACTGTCTGTAACTCATATTCCAGGGAATCTAACACCTTCACACAGACCTACATGCAGCAAAACACAAATGCACATGAATTAAAAATAAATTAATTAATTAAAAAAAAACAGCACTTAGGCTATGTCACAAAACAAAACAAATCAAAATAAAGGCCTACACTTCTAGCCAGACTGTTGAAAAAGAATCCAAGTACATGAATGAGAAGATTGACAAGTTATTTAACTACATTGATTAATTATCCAGCTCAGTCAGAGTCCTTGAAGTAAGTATATATTTTATTTAGTCTTAAAGAAGTATATTTTAACAGTTCTATTTAGATATGATTTGCCTGTGTTTAAAATACACATTCAGCAGCTTTTAGTATATTCACAACCCTTACTAAAGAAAACTCCATGATCTAGCAGTTCTGCTTCTGGGTTTATATGTGAAAGAATTGGAAGGAAGATCTGAAACGGAGGCTTGCACACTTTATCTGTAGCAGCATTACTCAGAACAGCCTGTGTGTCCATGGATGAATGAAGGGATTAAAAGTGTATGAACACTTGTAGCAGAGGGTTTTCGGGCTTCAGAAAGGATTCCTGTCACATGTAGTGATACTATTCTAAATAAAGTAAAGCAGTCACCAAAGACAAGTATTACGATGCTGTTCATGTGTGCTCCAGAAAGTAGTTAGATTTTCAGAAAAAGTAAAATAGTACCTTCTGGGAGCTGGAGTTAAGAGGACATGAGGCATTGTTGTTTAATGGTACAGAGTTTTAGTTTTGCTGGATGAAAATGCCCTAGAAGTCTCTTTCACAAAGTCTGAATATACTTAACTGCCGAACTATATGCTTAAAATATTTACAATGCTAAAGTTTATGTGAGTTCTTAAAAAATCTTTTAAAAACCATTTCATTATTATATTTTTTATTATAATTATTACTTGTCAAGAGGTAGGTCAGAGGGGTATCAAGTCACTTAGAGCTGGAGTTACAGACAGTTGTGAGCTGTCTGTTGTGGGTACTGGTAATTGAACTCAGGTGCTCTGCAAGAACAGTATGTTCTCAACTACTGAGCCATTTCTCCAGCCCCTAGTTGATTTGACGTTTTTAATATGTATTTTTTTTTAGCTTCAAAAACACTGCAGTGTTCTAAATATGCAAACATTGTTCTTGGGTACAGAGGGCTCTTGCATTGATTTGGTGGGGGTTTTTGCTGACAATGAAGAATTCTGTAGTTTGTCTAAAAACTAATATAGATCTACTGTACATAACTTAAAAACCAAAACACTTCTCATGCTAGCTTCTCTCGTTTACAGCTAAAGAATGTCAACAGAATGCTATGTCACAGAGAAAACCACAAGACAACCTGAAGCTGTTGGGACACAACAGTGTCCTAGCCTCCCAGTGCATACATTGAACTACAGCCCTTCCAAAAGGCATCTTCCCCATGCCAAGCAAGGAGCATCAAGAGTTTGTTTTTGTTTATTTTACAAATTACAGATATGTACAGTTTTCAACTCAGGGTTTTCAGCCAATAACGATGCTAATATCACCTCACAAACTGAAAACAAAATGCCAAAAACATCTTTAAATGCCCTATCATACCAAAGCAAATTGCAGAGTAAGGAGAACACAAGAGTACCTTTTCATTTTAAAATGTTTGGAAACATGTACAACTTTGTACAGTTACAGGAGCTCCAGATACATGTGTCCACTTCAAGTGAACCAGAGGCTTTGAGAAGCTGTGGGGTGATTAAACCCAATGAGGAGAGTAGACAGAGCCCAAATACGATGTGTGGGTCGTAGTACTCCCTCTCCGTGGCCTTTGCAAGGAGACCCATAAACACTTTTAGCTGAGAACGGTGGTACATGCCTGTAATCCCAGTACTGTGGGGAGGCTGAGGCAGGGCGATCAGGAGTTTGAGGCCAACTGGCCTACATGAAACTGTCTCAAAAAAAAGCCAAATAAAAGAGTTGTTTTTCCTCCTTCCTCCTGCTGCTGCTCCTCATCTTCCACCTTCTTGTGAAAAAATTCAGTGACGCCCTTTTTCCCATGAGACTTTCTTTCCCTTTGACTTGTACTTACGACATCCTTCTCATATTTGTCCCTCTGCTTCACCACCTTCCTGATGCTCTGCAGCTTTTCTCTGCTACTTAAGCTGTTCAACATCTCACTCAACTGTTACTTTGTTTTGTTTTTTATCAACATCTACAATGGAGATTCCAGGATTTTTAGATTTGATCTTGGATCAGAATTCTGAACAAAACAAGAAGAATGCAGACAGTGGTCCGTGGACAGCAGTAGTGCCCTTTTCTTCAGGCCTCCTGCAAGCTGGTCCACAGTCCTTCATTTCCCAAATGTAGCATGTTTTGTCCAACTTTGCCATTTTATCAGTTTTAAATTTCCCTGCCCAGCATTGTCTCCATTTCTCAGAGTACTTAGGAAATCTTTCAATATTGAGAAGGACATCTGGCTTTTCTTCTGTGCTCTTCTCTGCCTGGCTACACAAGAGGGCATAAGCAGGCATAAGTCCTTTGGTCTCTTGGGGTCACCTTTAGCCATCCTGATATATTGCTCTCTAGGAAGGACAGAGCACAATGCAAGGCTTCCTGGTCTCACACTAACTGCCTCTATGACAGCCAACTCTACATGATGGTTACTAATTAAAAATGTTAACAGTAAAATACAAGGGATCCATAATGACAGTCACTCTAGAGTCTTCCCACTCCAAAAATCCCTTTCCAACCCTAGGTAACTATTAATCTATTCTATCTGTAAATTAGCCTGTCACTTCTCTTATACATGGAATATACAATATGAACTCTTTCATGACTGAACCTTTTCAGCTAGCTTGATGGCAAGACTCATCTGAGTTGTTAGCTTCATTAACGCTTTGCTACTTTTCATTGTTGAATAGTATTGATAATAATAGTAATAATAAAACCATATTTATTCATTCATCAACTGATAGACATTTGGGGTTTTTTTTCTGCTATGAGCAATTGTTCTTAGGATTCTGTAGGTATATATTTTCATTTCTTTTGGTGTATATATAGGAGTAAAATTCCTGAGTCATGGTAGCTTTGTGCTTAACCTTTTGAGAAATTACAAACTGTTCTCTAAAGTAGCTGTACTAATTTTCATCCCCAAAATGTGTAAAGGTTCAGCATTCTTCACCGACACTGTCTCTTCAGTGGGTGGCTGTGATGTGGTATTTCCCTGTGGTTTTAATTTCCTCATAGCAGTTGATATTGATCATTCTTTTCATGTGCCTGTTAGCCATTTGGGTCTGTCTTATGAAGATGTTTGTAAAATACTTGGCCAGCTTCATAATTGAGTTGTCTTTTTATTACAGAATTAGAAGAGCTCCTAATGTATCCTACACAGTGGGTCCTTTAATCAGCTGTATCATTTGTATTTTTTCCCATTCTGGGAATTATCTTTTCACTGTGTGTGTGTGTGTGTGTGTGTGTGTGTGTGTGTGTGTGTGTGTG